TTTGTTTCTTTGCCAGCTGTGGATTTAGAACTGGAATAATTCAAAAAGCAGTGGGACACTGTGACTCACTCGGTACCTCCTGGGCTTTGGACATTCTCGTAAAGCCCCGAGTGCCGAGTGCGAGGTTCAGGCACCGAGTTCAGTAACTCAGACTCTGAAACCACAGAGACCCTGATCAGCTGTAAACAATGATTTAGTTCTTCTCAACAGTCAGGGCATTAGAGCTCCAGTTCCAGGTGTGCTGTGCTGAGTGACAACACCAGGGAGGTTTTCTGGAGGTTAAATTTATTCCTTCAGTCAAAATCAGGGACGTGTTCTGGTAGTAACATCTAGTTTTCTAAGACTGTTCTTTTCAATAACTGTGGAATTAGTGTAACTTTTCTTTTAATTCTTCATGCATCTTCTTTGAGTTCCCTCTGAAAACTGCCAGTGGAAAGCCTGGGGAATAACTATTACATAGAAGAGAAATATTAAATAAGAGGAGTCTTTGCCACAAGATGTCCACTACAATTAATGCAGAAACTCTGCATCTTCATTTAAAAGCTGCAGAAAGCAGAGTCCAAATGTGCATCTTCCGTGGAAGATGAACATTATTTATGTTGCCTGGTGTGTATATAAGTTGAAAAGGGAAATTTATTTCCCAATAAAATCTTCCAGGCTGGAAATGCAGAACAGTTTGCTTGAATCCAAATGTATATTGCTTAGTCTCCACAGGAAAGTAAAGACTTATTAAGTCATATGTCAGCTGAGTTGAATTATTGATGTTGAATTCAACATATTGAACTCAGAGATTCATCAACTTTATAGTATTATTTGTTAGAAAAGTACCCCTTCTATCTCTTTGGACTGACTTTTTATTATCTCTCTTATTTATTATCTCTTTTATTTGAGGCAGTGGTTGCTGACCTGACTAATAGCTTTCATCTTTGTACTTTGAGTTGTTTCCATATGTGCAGGTGCTGTGGAATTTATTGTCTTTACATTGAAAAATCAAGATCTAGTCAGTGCATTTGTAGATGTTTAAATGAAAATATTCTTAAGGTAGAATTAGGGTACAAGATTTAGGACATGCTGATTTTAATAGAACATACATTTAAGGGTCAGGAAATTCCAACTTAAGGTTAAAGTATTTGAAAATCAAAAAAATCTAAATTTCACCAAATCAGAAAACACACAAAATTCTGGAATCAGCTGTGAATTCTTTTTATACATCTATACTTGGTAGGAGAAATCCAGTTAAATGTGTGGGTGTAAATTTTGCTTAACCCAAAAGATTTATTGTTTTTAGTCTTGTCCAGTCAGGGACAAAATTGAAATCTTATGCTGCTGAGAAACCTGAAGTCAGTGTTGATCCCCCAGGTGAGTTAGGTCTGGAACATCTCCCAGCCCCCCTATGGACACGATAAGAATCACAGAATGGGTTGGGCTGGAAGGGACCTTAAAGCCCATCTCATCCCAGCCATGGGCAGGGACACCTTCCACCAGCCCAGGTTGCTCCAAGCCCTGTGCAACCCGGCCTTGGACACTTCCAGGGATCCAAGGCCAGCCACAGCTTCTCTGGACAACCCGTGCCAGGGCCTCACCACCTTCACACAGAAGAATTCCTTCCCAATATCCCATCTAACCCTGCCCTCTGGCAGTTTGAAGCTATTTCCCCTTGTCCTGTCCCTCCATCCCTTGTCCAAAGTCCCTCTCCAGCTCTCTTGGAGCCCGTTTAGGCACTGGAAGGGGTGGTAAGGTGTCCCTGGAGCCTTCTCTTCTCCAGATTTTACACCCCCAGCTCTCTCAGCCTCTCTCCATAGTTGTGCCATGAGGAGGAGCTCGAACAGTCCCAGGCTGACTTTCTCTCCTCCTGCCCATGGGCAGGCACAGCGACCCGGCACCATCCCCTCCCACCTCGCTGACCCCCTGGAAGAGCAAAGGAACATCCCCCCTCACTGTGCCCCCAAACTCCCACCAGGAACTGGGGGAGCAGGCACTGCACTATTGCCTTCCCAATGCCCCCTGCAGCACTGCAGCCTCTGGGAAAGCGTGTGCCTTCCTCAGGGAGAGCCAGGGAGGAGCTGCACTGGAAGCTGCTTCATGACAAAGATGTTGTAGTGGCTGAACTTCGCTGCAGAAGCACCTTCTGCCCAGGTCTCTCTCAGCCAGGTTCTCCTCTCTCTCTGGGCTGCCTCAGTACCTGTTTCTGGTTTGGGCCGTGTCATTACAGCAACAGCTTCATGTTTGGAGACCCCCAATTGCCAATCTGCAGTAAAGCCGCACAGACCCCACTGTCTGTTTGCCAGCAAGTGCCCTTCCCCTTCTGAGAAAGCAGGAGGCACATTCCTGAGGCTTCCTCACTGTTGGATCAATCCACGTTGCTACAATTGATTATTTTCCTTTTTTTTCACTGCTTGGCTCTGCCTTTCCCTCTGTTCTTACACTTCCCACTGAACAGCCATGTGGCTGCTCTGGAGCCGTGGCCACACTGTGACCTCAGCGTGTGCTGGACAAAGATTCCATGTGCCCAGAGAAGGGGGGGTGTCTGTCCAGCCCCCCTTCTCCACCAGTGAGGTTCCAGAGGTGTCCCCAGCCCAGGGGGCAGGAAACCCACCCTTCATCTGTCTGTCTTCCTCCCGCTGTTCTCAGCTGCAGCAGAGAGTGCAGGGCCAAGGGCTTCTCAAGAGGGAAGTGATCTCTGAGTGCTTTATGGAGAGACAGACTTGTACAACCAGGAGCAAATTCCCTGTTAGTTTAGATGGAGATTTGACCAGTATTTTTCTGCTTACATGGGGCTGGGAGGTGGCCCGTGGAGTTTGCTCATCCCATAACTTCAAGAAGTTCATGGTGAAATCTCTTGGAAGGTCCTTTGCCGGTCATGTCGTGCTAATGACTTCAATGATACATGTTCTAACAGCAGTGAAATGCAAGAAGCCAAAACTACCTTAACAAACACGGTTCATTTAACTAAAAGAGGCAGACTGAGCAGCAGGTGGAAGGGTTAAACAAAAGGAAAAAAGATTATAAAAGTTTGCGGCTTTGGCTTCACTACAAATGGCCCTCTTGCAGCCTTTATAGCATTAGTGTTGCTTCTCATAAAGCTTGAAACCATTCATCCATTTAGAAAGATTAAATTGGTCAGTCATCCAGAACAGAAAATGTACACATCCATTTTGTCTGTTACCCTAAACCAGCTGAAGTATAATAAATGCACTTGATGCCATTAAACTAAAGCATTGAGTATTAATGATGCCTCAGCTGGGGGATTTGCAGTTTGCCTGTGTTCCTGATGGTACATTCATCTGCTGCTGCTCAGGGACAGTCAGAGCAGAGCCTTTGAGTTGGAAAACACAACTGTAATATATGATGTGAGGGGCTCAGAGGAAACATCTTGGTACTAAAGCAGGGAAAATCCTAGAAATGTTACATTTTTTGTTATTCTTAGAAGATCGCAGTTAAAAAGCACAAACTTCACTTAGGATATCTTAATATATTTATGATGGTCTGTTAAACAGTTTGCAAAGACAGGTTTGTCTGGATTTCCAGTTGCAGATGAAGCTATTGCTATTTAAAGGTCTGTCACTTAAACAAGCCAGACAAAAATGGGCAGACTCTCCTAAAGAACGAATTTGTAGAGGCACTTGGTCAGGAAACAAGCTTATTATTAAAAATATAATAAAAATTAGATTTAACTTATCAGCATTTTTCTTGATTAGTGTCAAGATTCAAGAAGTAGCATCAAGAAAATTTGCAATGGTTGCTTCAGAATACAAGGAAATTTAATTCCTGCTGCTTTGAAACCTGTAAGACATTCCCTCAAACGCAGGGATTTCCAGTGGGCTGGAAAAAACATGACATGTTTTTTAATTACTACATAAAGTGCCTTTAATCAGAGCATCCAGCTTGACACCATTAGAACTGGGAAGTAAACTCTATCCAAGTTTCCAGTTCCATGCTGGAAATGCCAGCTCATTCCTGCAGGAAACAGGAATCAGTATCCCACATTGGCTATCACTCAAAGCAGAGCAGATTGCCAGCTGTTCTTAAGCAGGGGCTCGAGCAGCAGCAACTTCTGTGGAGCACAAGGAGGGGCTCCAAATGAAATATGCACTCCCAAACTTCCCTGACTATTCCCACCAAGCCCCAAAGTGCTGCTCGCTGTCCCTGCAGCCTCAGGGAGATGAGGGCACTTCCAGGGAGTCCTGAGGGTTCAGCATCAGACACTGTGCTTAGGATCTGTTTGATTTGTACTTTTTTTTTTAATTTTTGTTCTGGAACATTTCTGGTGGCAAAAGAAGCAACAATCCTCCCCCTTCCCCCTCAGCATTTGTGTTTTACTGCAAATACAGACGGCAACACTACCAGGAGGGAGAGAGGTGATCTGAAAGAGCCAAAACCTCATAAATTGTTTGTGTGGGAAAGCCTGCCTTGCCTTTTCTCTAACTGATGGCATGCCAAGTTTATTTTACAGTATTTACAGTAAGATTTGTTTGTTTTGATACCCTTTGTATGTTGTTAGGGAAAAGGCAGAAGAAAATCTCCAGGAAGTTTATAGTTTGTGATGAGACAGAGCTGGGGCTTTAATTTGCTTTCTAGCCCTGTACCTTTTACTGGGAGTGTAATATAGGAGGGGATATGAGATTGCAATTGGATGAGTTATTACTGAGCTGTTATTTATTTTCTCTGTATGAGTTTGGTGCTTAGGAAAGACCTCAGACCAGCATGCTGAGGAAGTGGAATTGTTGGTTCACTCCGAGAGCAGATGCAGGATGGGCAGGAACAGCCCTGGTTTCTCCTTCCTGCGTCACAGTGCTCCAGGAGCAGGGACAACAGGCAGACTCTGCCTGTCCAGTTGAGGTCCAGACAGATGACATGAGCACAAAATTATCCATTATGGGGTGGTCCCAGTGTGGCTGTGGGTTGTCTGTGCAAGGCCTGACATTCCTGCCAGCTCCAGCACACGTGCTCTGTCAGGAGGAGAAGCCTCAGGTCTCCCTCAGGACAAGCACCCTGTGGTACAAAAAGACATAAAAAGTGGTGCCTGAGAACATTTAGGAAGTAGGAAGTGTTTTCTTGATGTCCATCTTTTAACTAGAGCATCCTGCCCTGAGTCTGCAGAGAAGGTCATCCATTGGCATGGAAAGTCTTCCAGGCAGGCAGGCGCTGCTCGTGTGAGCTTGTTGCGCTGAAAGGGAAATAGAGGCGTTGAGTTCAATGCTGAAGCCTTAATTGTTTGAACCAAACTTCTGAACACGTTGTAGGGCCTTGGGTTATGGCAGGAGCAGAGAAATAGGAGACTAACGGTGTATTTTATGTGCTGTGACAAACAGAGGTGTCACCTCTCCCTGACCTTTGCTGTGAAACACTGGGGAGACACAACCACTTTTCTCTGTAGTGGGAACGTTCCGTTTCCGTGTTTGACTCCCTGGGATGAAGCCTGATTGCCAAATGTTAGGAGCTTTTCCTACGGAGCTGGGGAGGGATTTTCCCAAGGGCAGACTCCTTTTCATCCCCATTCTCCTGCCTGGCAGTTCCCTTAGGGATGGTATTCCAAAGATGTACACAACATGACCTTCCCTGTGCCAGTGTTGATGTGCTGTGCACACCATGAGAGGGAAAGGGTATTTTGGGGTCAGCAAGTGTCTTGGAGCAAAGCTGGTGCCAGGAGATGCTGGCACAGCTCAGCACTGTTTGGTTTACACCTGTCAGGAGCAGGCAGCCTCTCAGCTCCTGTGTTTGGGTGAGTATATTCATCATATTTAGCTTTTAAACAATATTCTTTTCATCTTCCCTGCGCTTCACAGTTGTTAATTAATCTCACAGCACCCAGGGATTAATAGTAACACTTTACAGGGAGAAGCAGAAATGAGGAAAGAAGAGTTCAAGGTCATGGAAGCAGTTTTATCTAAGGACCATCAGGTTTTGCAAGATTAAAGTGTTCTTAACTGGCCTCTCCTTGGATGTCAGCCTCCATTTTGGGGGCAGGGGGGAAGTTTTTATATTTAACGTATTTAGAGCTCCCCTTTCATTTGTTCACTTTAGCACATATTTTTTCTGAGGCAAATGGTGAACAGAACGTGCTCACAGTGCTTTCTTCTCCCTAGGACTTGAAAGATGATCGGAGTGATGAAGAGGAGGAAGATTCTGTCACAGATACTGAGGAGGAGTCCACAAAGAACGGCAGCAAGAGCAGCAGTGGGTCAAGCAAACACCTCCTCAGTGGCAGTCACCACTAGCCCTGTCCTGCCCCACCTCCTGCAGTGATTTCTGCTCTGGTTTCAGCCCAACCTACAGGATAGAATTTGAGTCAAAAGGCTTGTGAGAGACTGTGATTGATTTATTGTTGGCTACTGGACCTGGAAAAAAGCCCAGTTTAGAGGGAAGGGAGAAATTGCATCAAATGACAAAACGTGTTAATGACCCACTTTCTGAATCGTTGGGAAGTGTGTGGGAAGAGGTTTGGACACTGACAGTGCTCCACTAGGGCAGAGCTCAGGGGAGTCAAATAATTCAGTGTCCCACTGGTTTTCAATGAGATATATTCCATCAAACAGTTTAAATCACAGATGTTTTGGGGTAGGTAACTTAGTGCGAACTCCATTAGGAACCAGAATTACTCAACGTGGGAAAAATCTGACAGTGCTCTGCAGGGACTGGCACTTGAGTCTTTACTCTTCAGTTGAAACCCTCATCAAGAATGATATTTTTTTAAATTAGATTTCATTTCCTGGAGGCTGGAGGAAGCAAACATGGAGGAATTCAAATGACTTGCCTGTGAAGAGTTGGCTTCAGTGCAGAAATACAGTCCTTCTCTGAAATGTGCTGTATGATAGATAGGTCAAATATTGTGTTCTAAGATTTACCTGTCAAGGAAACCACTGTTAAAACAGCAAAACTCAACCCTGACTCTCCACTGAGCTCCAGGTTTCCCAAATGTCTTTCAGTCCTTTTGGCCCAGTGTTAGAACAGAAGGGGCAGTGGGGAGAGAAGAGAGTGAATGGAAATTGGGTCTTTTCACAGATCCTTGTGCACTTACTTGTATTCAAAACACCTCCTGTTCCTGACACATCTTCAGCCCAGAGGGTTAAAAACAAATCTCATCCAGTCCCTTCTTGTGAGCTCCTTTGATATTGTGTTCTCTGGAGCAAGTGCTAAATTCTGATTTGAGGTTGCGGAGTGTTCACTGCAGGTATCCAGGCTTTGGGGACTGGCATGGAATGTCACACTGTCAGTGCTGTGGGTTCATCTGATACCAGGATCTGTATTTCCATCTCTGCTCTGTTATAAAATGGGGAATCACATAAGTTAGAGCCAAACTTAGTGTGACTTTGGCCACATACCATTGTTTATCTGTAAGCAGTGGAGGAACAGTGGATGTTTGATCAGTTCCCCAAAGTGCCTCTATCCTAAATTTGCCCCTCTTTTCTAACCCCACTGTGGAGTGCAGCAGCATTTTCAGTCTCAGGGCTTTCCAGGGAGAGCCTGGGCCTTGTAAACAGGGTGGTGCCAGTCTCACTTCCAGCTGCATGAGCTCACAAGGCCATAAATGATTGGTGTCATAAGTTTTAGAGGCTCTGCATGTGATTCTACAGTAGCTGAGATCATCTGGGGTGCTAAATCCAGTAGCCTGATGGAGGCCAGGGGAGCAGGGCTAGAACAGCCCTGGAGCAGAGCACTTGGTTTGGGAAGGCTCTGCTTCCCTTGAGCTGCTCAGGCAGGAATTGGTGACCTACAGGAAGTGTGACATGACTGACTTGTTTTCCCAAGATTTCCTTGGCAAGGGGGATGTAATTCAGCGACTGAAGCATTTGAAAGAAGGGGAAATGTTTGGGATCTCAGATATGAAGAGAGGAGTGTTTTCTGTGCAGGTACAAGAAGCTGCAGAAGTGCTTTGTTACAGAGGCTTCATTTTTCGCAGTGTTTGATTTTTTACTTGCATTTTGGAGCAGGTAATACCCCAAATGTGCCTGTGTTTTACCACACAGAGAATTCCACTGAGGAAGGAGCATGGCCTACAGCTTCTGAGAAGGATGGGAGGTGTGTGCTGGTGGAATGGGACCATCTAAAGCAACTGCTGAGTTTGGCAGGGGCACAGTTGCATATCAGGGCCTGTTTATTGCCTACATGAAAAACACTGGCCTTTCCTAACAAAACGTGGAAATTCAGCATCTTGGAGGCTTTACACTCCCTTGGAGAGACAACTGTGCTTTCTTTGAGATGTAAGGGAGTTTTGGGAGGTGGCCAGGGTATTATCATTTAATTTTGGTGCCAGAAGCTTTCCTCCTATGACTAGGAAAGGAATTCAGGAAAGGAAACACAAGGAATGATGTTGTCACAGGAATGAGCCTCTGAACAACTACTGATTTTTAAACTGGAATTTATAGTCTCCTTGAGGCCAAACCTTGCCCTTTCTGCTCAGGACAAGCCTCCCACTGAAGCCAATTAACTCAATTGGAGTCTTGCCTAGGAGAAATTTTGGATTGCAGTTATCCAGCCTAATTGCCAGAACCGTTGTTCTAAGTCAGTGTGAAACTGGGGTCTTCGAGGAAGAGCAGAAGGTAGATAAATACACTCAAATGTAAAGCATTGAGGCAAATTTTGGGTGAGTACAGAAGAATATGGAAGAAAACAACATCCTGAGGGTGAAGATTGTCTGGGCACAATAAACAACCAAATAACTCCATCATGTGTCAGTGAGGGGTGTCGAGGACAGGCCGTGAGTTGCTGCCATGGCACACACAGGGATTAGACCTAAACATCCTGAATGTAAAGCTCTAGGAACTGGGAATAAATACCCCCAGCAGAGAAAGAAGTGGGAATGGATTGTGACAGTGAGACTGGATGTATCTCCCCTGTTAACATCAGATTGGTCATTCCTGAAGTTATGGGAGCTTCATTTTCCACTTGTTACTGATAGAAACCCAGAAACAAGAAGCTGAGCTCACAGGGACACAATTCCTGCCAAAGAAATTCATGTCATGGTGCTTCAAGATTTTCAGTCTATTCAATGCAATGCAATGAAAATTCAGCCTTAACATTTTTATCATCTTGGTGTGAAAAGAGTCTCCAAACGCAGGTGCAGAAAAGCTGTAGGTGTGGCTGGGAGCACAGGCTCTGACATGTTATTGTCACCATTTCACAAAGGGTGTCCTGGTTCAATGAGGTGACACAGTGCTTCTGGCTTTGCTGTGTCGGTCTGACCGTGCCAAAATATTTCTAATAGTTATAGACTGAAAATCAAATCTTAGTCCATCAGACTCAGGGGAAACTCTTCTGTTCCATTTAATGTCTCTGTCTTTAGTTCAGGTATTCCTGTCCATGTGTACTACGCTGCCTCTGTACTTATTCCATACTTAGATTTACCAGCCTGCTCTGGATTTTATTTACAGATCTCCTTTGCTCCACTGAACTCATTTTCTCAATTCATATTATTTGGTATAATTATCTTTTTTTGTTGTTCTTAACACCACTGACTTTGCCTGGTCAGTTGTGATACACATTACAAATAAATATTTTTTGAAAACAGGTGAGGATTTCCTTGTTTTCCCTGTCCATTCCCTCCCAGCTTTCCAATGAGAGCCCATTCAGGAATGAATTCCTTTCCAAGTTTTTCCCTTTCCTGGAAAAGGCTGGATGACCCACAGTCTTCATAAAAGGTAGCAGCCAGGGCTGTAAATGATCTTGTGTTTTCCTGAACAATTAATGAACAGAGAGGAAGGAAAATTAATGGGGCCTCCTCCATCACTTGTCTTATTCAAGATTTATGCTTTGATTAAAGTACTTGACAGTGGTCCTGTGTACACCAGGAACTACTCCCTCTGGAATGTTACATGAGGTTGTATCTCAGCTGGGTTTTGAGGTGGGATTATCAGTGGCTCATCATAAGAACACTTGAGGCAGCTCAGACATGGATCTTCAGCTGGCAAAAGCAGGAAACTCTATGGAAAACAAGCTGTGCAGATTTGTATCAGCTGAAAAGCTGTTCCATATTTCTTCTTTCCATTTGTGCCTCCCTGGTTGGGAGGATCGCAGAGGTTCTGACTTGCTGTCTCCTCCCATGGGCAAACAAACATAAGGGAAGGTGTTCCAGCCCAAATAATGAACTGTAGCAGAATGCTTTGGTTTTATTAGCTGAATTCTTTCTTTTTTTTTTTTTTTAAGCTTATGAGTAAGAATAAAGTAGATGGAAAGCAAATTGAGCAGGGCTGTGTGAGTTTTGGCTACAAGCAACTTGCAAACTGTGAAGAATAAAAAAAGAAGTTGCTGATTTAGGAAGAAAAACACCATCTCCACAGGCACTTCCCCCAGCTGTGGGATTGAAGAGAGCACATCCCCAGCGGGCAGGGATGACATTCCATGCTGAGCACACGGACACGGCCCAGGAGGGAGAACTCCAGAGCCTTTTGTATGGAGCAACACATGAGCCAGGAATGTACCTGTGAGCTGATTCCATCAATCATGTTCAAAATCACTGGAAATGCCTCTTCCCTGCCAGTTTGATGGGGTCCCTCCAGCTCTGTGTCTCTGTAGAGTTTGAGCTTTGGCTGCACAATGGACCTCGAGGAGGACAAACACCTCTGAGCTGTTGGAGGTCACACAGGGCATCTGTATTCCCACTGAGAATGGCATTTCTGCTCCAGAACTGTATGGAATCTACCTGAAGGCCATCAGGGACAGCAAGGTGGCCCTCAAGGGGCCAGCATCGCAGGGAAGAGGTGAAGCCCTGCCATCAATCCCTTGTCAAGGACTGGGATTCCCAGTCAAGGAAGGGGGGGTGATCACAGCAGTGTGAACTTCACCCAAAGAGCTTCAACTGGGGCTCTGAGAGTTTATTTGGCTGAAAGAACCCCCTGTGGGACTACCTGAAGTTTGAGCCTTAACAGAAGACAAGGCTGAAAGCACCACTCTGAGCTTCAACAGAGGACTCTGCAAACACGAAGTCATAACAACCCACGTAGGATAATGTTGTTGATGTTCCAATAGTCCGAAGATTTATGAAAATAGCTTCTATTTACTCAGCTGGAGAGAGCCCTGTTCTCCTGAGTTTTGTTACCCCATAAAGCATTCAGAGGAGACCCCATAATCATTTCAAAGTCAGAAACATTAAGTGGAATAACAAGTATAAACCCTCTCCACAGTGACTTTGAAGTGCAAGAAGCATGGCCTTGTAGCCTGGAATATTATGGAATATTACTCTGCTTTGAGCCGGGTGGGAAGAAACAGCTCCCAGGCAGTTGTTTCAGGTGGTGAAAAGTCCGTAGTTTTCCTCCCACGGAAGAAGTTGGTCTAAAAGAAGTTAAAGTTGAGCAGTAAAATAGGTGATTAAATTCCCACTGAAATTCACAGGAGCTTTTCCCATGATACCGATGAGACTTGGATCCAGACCTCCTGTGACCAGGTACAATGATAAGGACAGCAGGGCACAGCCCCAGTGCTTTGCCTTCCTGTAGCCCAGGGCAGAATCCTCCCTGGACAATGAGATCTTCTGTCTGCAGGACACTCACCTTCACCTCTTCCCAAACTGGGCCTGTATCCTTTGAAAGACATTCCTGGGAAGGCAGTCCTCCTTTTTTCAAGGCAGAAATCTCTCTTCCAGCAGAGAACTCTGCCTCCAGGACAACTCCTTTCCCTGAGCACTGGCCGATTCGGGTTGAGCCCAAACAATGAGTTCCCAGAGCAGGAGGGAAGGCAGGAGGATCTGGGAGAGGCTCCTTTAGAAAGATCCCAGTATGTGAGTGAGGGGACAGGGAGGGCCTCGCTGGGGCTGGGCCAGGAGCCCAGCGGAGTCCAGTGGAGCCCAGCAGACCTGCAGCTGTGGCAACAACCCCACGGGTCACCTCCAGTTGCTGGGGGAGCCTGACTCCCCCTTGGACCTCAGCGTTGGTTTTGTGCTTTTCGTGGCTGATTGAGAATCCCAGGAGTCCTAGAAGGGCTCCTGGAAGATTTGTGTGTTTGCTTTCTACAACCAAGAGCAGAAGAAAGCTGCTAAAAGGCCTTCCTAGTGCACCTCTGGTAAGTGTCTGGGTTGTGTTGTGGGCTGTGTACAGTGCAGGAGATCTCCTGGTATTTCAGAACAAGAATCTGTAGGAAGCAGGAGCTAAATCTTATCAGGTTGTGCTAAGTCTTATCAGGCCTTGCAAATCCTACCTAGTTCCTTTGCTGTTTTAGAGGAGGAATTATTCAGCAACCAAAGAATGTTGGTTTTTTCCCTATTGCAAGGGGCAGTGAGGTCAGGTAGTGGTTGTGTTTGGAGCTTTTTTTGAACCCTTTGGATCCTGCAAGGATGGCACTTGAGCAGAGCACAGGACACTGTAGCAGGAGCCCCTTTGGCCTGAAGTGAGGGCTGTTCTATACCCACACAGTTCTGCAGGACATGTACAGCATTTAGTGAACCCGGGAATTGCTTCCTGCCGGTTCTGGCTGCCCTGGGAGAGCCCAGCGCTGCCGGGCTGTACCTGCTGCTCGTGGAACATCCCAATCCCTACCTGTGCCATCACCCGCGGGGGTGACCTGGTCATTGCTGCGAGGCCCCACGAGGTGGCAATAGCAGGACACGGCTCCCGTCGGGACTCGGCTCCGAGGAGCGCTGCTGTCCGTCCTTTTGCCCCTGGAAACAGAGATTCGATTGAATCATAGAATCATAGAACCAGCCAGGTTAGAAGGGACCTCTGAGATCATCAAGTCCAACCCTTGATTCACTACTGCCGTGGTTCCCAGACCATGGGCACTGATGCCACATCCAGTCTCATCTTAAAAACCTCCAGTGACGGAGAATCCACCACTTCCCTGGGCAGCCCATTCCAATGCCTGATTACCCCCTCTGTAAAGAATTTCTTCCTAATATCTAACCTAGACCTCCCCTGGCAGAGAATATCGGGGTGCAAAATTCTTGCAGTTGGTAATTTCCACTTGGTCGATCTCTGACTGTGAAACAAGTGTCTGGTGTGTCCTTGGTAAAAGAGCGCTTACAAATTTTGCTGAGAGTGTTTGGTACCAATTCCAGTCCCGGGGTTTGGTTCCAGTCCAGAGCATCCCAAGGGTTGATATCTACCTGGGTGTCACCAGTGCCCCTTTTCCCAGAGGTGCAGCACTCTCCTACCGACTCCCTTGGAGCTGTACCTGGCATCTCTGGGATAGGGCTGGGGAAGAAAGGATGTTAAATCTGCTCTGATGCTGCTTCACTGCTTGTATTTTTTCATATTGTCTCTTTAAAGATATTTACCAAGCAACAGAATCTGTGGCTGGTGGTAAGTGAAGCCCTGTTCTCAACCAGATCCTTAATGTCTGTAATGCAAATAAGGATGATAAATCTCAGAATAATGAGTGTTACACTGCCCTTCCAATGGTGTTGTCCCACCTCAGGAACAGACTCTCCACCCCAAACAAATGAGGTGCTCTGTGTTTTGCACCATTGCCAAACAACAGAGCAAAGCTCTGAGGGTGGAAGGGTTTGGGCCAGGTCCAGCATGTGCATGTGCAAAGGGAGGAGCAGTGGGACATCACCTCCCAAACTCAAAATGTGCCCTAAAACACCTCCAAAACCCAGTGCACTGTCAGGAGGCACCACTGAGAAGTGCCCCCTGTAGAAAGCTGTTCCCAAACTTCTTCAATGCCCATAAGCAGTGGTCTCTGCAGGCCCAGACTGAGCACCCATTAAACAGTGTTAAATGCTGGACAAATTGGGTTTTTTATAAATGCAGAGCAGAGACAAAGCAATTAAGACCAAAATCTATGAGTTCTGGGGGTTTTCCCCCAGGGATGTCTCAGGGTCTGGGGGGGCACAGTGCATATTCCTTCCTTTACAGCTGCTATGGCTGGTTTCTGCCAGGAAAAAATTCAGAGCTTGGGCTTGGGGTCCACAAAAGCTGTGACCCTGGTGGGTTCCCAGCTGTGCTGAGCCCTGACTGCAATGGCCCCCTGACACACAGCCTGCACACTCCACACTCCCCGTGAGCATCAGCAGGGAAAAGGGATCCTTTGGTCTAAACAAGTTCCTTTAATCCCATTTTGCTCAGCCCTCGTGGTCAGGCTGTGCTCAGCTATGGCTGTGCAGAGAGCTGGGAACTGCTTTGCTTTGATAGCGGGATGAAAAATTTCCATGGCCTTTGTCCATGGCTGTGGATGGACAGGAGGTGCTCGGACGCTGTGGAACGTGGGTGGCAGCCTCTGTGGTTCCCATCTGAGCCCAGCTCTTCCCTAGGATTCCTGTTCAGAGCCAGGAGACAGCTGGATTTGACTTGCTGCTTGAAGCTTCGAGGTTGCCTGCTTGGCACTCTCCATGAGGGGTTTCCATGGGCTGTGCCCAGCTGTGGGTGCAGTTCCCTCCATCCCAGCTCACAGATGGTGCCAGTGGGAATCCTCACTGCCAGCAGGTGCTCTGAAAACACCTCCTCTCCTTTCCTGCCTGTGTCCAGCCCAGGAATCCCGACAGCCGGCACTGGAACAGTGCTGGAGTGACGCTCATGTTTTGCTGTTCTGAACAAACACTTGTGACTGAGCCAAAGTGAGCTGCCAGCTCTGCTGGGAGAGAGGATCCAGCATCAGAGGAGCATCTCCATTCTGCTCCTGGGTCACTGTAGGGCCTTGCAAAAAATGACAGTATTGGCCCCCAATGGGCTGGGATGAGGTATTGGTGGCTGTTGCTGATTAGGAGCAGGATGTGTGTCAGACCTGAGGAGTGTTGCTCCCTCCAGACCTCGCACTGTCCTTACCCGGTGACTCCAGGCAGGCTGTGCTGACGTGGGCAGTTGGGTTTCCTCGCTGGAGGAAAAGGCAGCCCTTGCTGTCCCTTAGGAGAGTGTGACAGACACAACCCCTGTCAAGGTGCACGGCACTGCAAGTGTGGCCCTGCAGTGGTCACAGCACATCCTGCCTGCCTTGCTCCCTTATGCCTTGGGAACAAACACGCTTTTGCTGCTTCAGGGCAGCTCAAGAGCCCAAAATATGGGGCTGTTTCCCCAGATAGGTGCTCCAAGTGACCCCTAGGCTACACAACTAACATTCATGGGCAACATCAGTTGACCAAGGCTAGGTTGGATGGGGCCCTGAGCTCCCTGGTGTCTCTGCCTGCAGCGGGGGCGTTGGACCCAGATGATCTTCAAGGTCCTTTCCAACCCAAACCAGTCTAGGATTCTATGATCCTACAACCAGACATCCCAATTTGCATCTCCAGGCTGTGGAGCTCATAGTAAAATCTGTGGGACAGCATGTGCTGGAGGCTGAGTGCCCACAGCTCCCTCCCCGCTGGGAGGGTTTGTCCTCCTGGGACAGCATTGGGAATTTCCTGACTCACCTGGGGGTGATGGGAAGGGATTGTAAAGACCAAGTGGTCCAGAAGGGGAGAACTGCAGAGCAGCCAGGAATGGGGACAGGGAATGCAAATTTAAATTTTTAAAACTTTTTTAAATTTAAAATTAATTTTTTAAAAGCAGTCACAGGTTTTGTGCTGTGAACTCTGCACTGCCTCTGTCAATGGCATTACAGCAAACTTCTGCACAGCTCTGCCTCCAAACTGGGAGCAATGAGGAAAATCATCACAAACCTGAGTAAAGGACTGGTTCTGTGGGGAAGAGTAACTCTGAATATTGCTGGTCCTGTCACTGCTCATGGATAAAAGGTGGAGGTTTTTGATTGCTGAATTGCTGTAAAAGTTCAAATGGCTTGACAAAGCTTTGAGGGAAGCTTGGGAGCATCTTGAATATGAGACAAAAGAAGGGTTAGTCAGAGCCCCAGTGACCTGAGCACACAGGCTTGGGGCTGTTTGACTTCCACAAGGGAAAAAAGGTGTTTTACAGACCCAGACCCCAGCTGGGGGGCCAGAGGGGCTTGGCCTTGGGACACAGCCCTTCCCCAGCTCTGTGCCACCATCCAGCGGTACCTGTGCCTGGGGCACAGCCCTTCCCACCTTGGCCTGTCCCCCCCACAGTGCCTGGCTGTGGTCCCCCATCTCCAGGGATGGGAAGGGGCCTTCCTGGCTGGAGCAGAGCCGGCTCCCGGGCCGTGACCCACCTCGGATCCCCTGCCTGCTGCGAGCCCCTGACCACGGCAATCCCCGCTCGTGGGGATATCGAGTGTTCTGTTTGTTTTGCAAGTGTAATTGGCCAAGACGCTGTGAAGGGAGGAGAGAGTGCTCCAGGGAGAGGTGTTAAAGAAATAGGAAAACATTATTAAGAGTGTTTTAAGTCAGCAGTTCCCCTTATTAGTGCTTTCATGGGGGAAAGGAGCCACTTTAGGTCTGTGCAGTTGCATTGGGCCACCGGGTCCAGGCTCTAGTAGCCATCCTTGCAGCTGGATGACCTGCCTTGTGCCTCCCCTTAGCATCACCTCTGTCCCTCTTCCAAGCCATGCACCGCCTTCCTGCCTTACCAATCTCCCCCTCTGGCTCCCTGTGCCCTGCTGCAAGGAATACTCAGAGAAGGAGGAGCCTTATATGGAATATGTGGTTTTGGGGATGATCCTTTTCCAAGGCAGGTGTTGGATACAAAGAGAGATGATTGAGAGGAGATGGGGGACACCAGATGTGGGATATGGCCAGATGAGGAACAGTGCAGGGACAGAGGGAGATGGTGCCTGCATGAAGGGCTTTGCTGGTGTCAGCTCCAAACATTCAGAACTTCTGCCTCCAAAAAAAATTAATCAACAGCAAAAATTTTTGAGAAAGGATTATTTTAAACAATCCCATGGTTGAGAACTTCTTAATTTGCTCCTGGGCAATAAACCTCCAGGCTTCTCACAGCTCACATTTCCCAGCCTGTCAGGGAGTCAAACATAGAGTGATGGAGTTAAACGAGAAATCAATCTCATGATTGCAGGAGCCAAGGTCTGGAGAGGAAAAACCCAAACAAACCGTAAATCGGAACAAAAGAAAGTGCCAGCTATTCCCAGGTTCCTGATAACATCACCAGAAGTGGCAACACTGGACTTCATGAAAAGCCTGGCTGAACTTTAGGGTCAGCCCCAAACAACGAGAGGTCTTTCCTTTGTCCCCTCGTCCCCGCATGCCTGGGGAGTGACGCGTGGCTGGTCGGTGTGGCCGGGGTGCTGGGATCTGAGCACAGCTCTCCCATCCCACACAGACCCTGCACTGGCCCTGTCTGTGGTTAAACCCCCCCATGGCCAGGCTGGAGGTGGTGGGGCTCTGACATTTCCATCTCTCTGCCCGAAGCGCTGCCTGTTGGAGGGAGCGGATCCTCCGTGCTCCCTGCAGGGGAGTGGCTCAGTTGTGAGCACCTTCTGTCACATCCCTGACTTTTCTCACCCACCGTGGCCTGTGTGCAGTGTTGCACCCTGATCCCTCCAAACGTGTGCCAGGGCAGCAGGGATACCTGGGAGGTTTTGTGCGGACAGGAGCAGCACCAGGGTGGGAATGTCCCAGACCTCCATGTCATGGGGGCTGGTGTGAAGCGACCCTGGGATTTCAGAGGTCTGTTCCTCAGCCCTCATCCCACAGGAGTGTTTTTCTTCTCTTTTTTCTGTTTTCCGTGGAAATAGGGTGTTTTTCCCCATTGCTGGGAGGCCCCTGGAGATAGGCGGGGGGGGAAGTGTCTGTGGGGAAGATCTTCATGGAAAACCTCATGGAATGCACTCGCTGTTTGTGAGACAGACACAGTCAATGAAACTCCCTGTGACAAAAGGGACCTTTGTCAGCCTGTGAATAAACTCCCTGCTTTACAGGGACTCCTGCCATGGACCTACCTGTGCTGAAGCAGGCTGTGTGCTCCCCTGAGGACACAGGTGCCACCTCCAGTGTCACAGTCACTTTTCTTTCTGCTCTTTATCCCCAGGAGCTCATGAACAGACTGTCCATTTTCAGCCAGACTTGACAGGGATGTCCCAGAGGGAGTTTTTCTTTCTCAGGCTTGGGAGAATTCAGGCTGCTGGAAGGAAAAACCTCCTGACTGCCTCTGCTGAGGGCTGCATGAACTGTTCCAGACACTGGAGACTCCACTTAGGATCATTTAGGTTGAAAAAGACCTTAAAGATCATTGAGACCACCTGTAAGAAGTGAGTCCAACATGAAGCAGCACAGCCTGGAATACCCTGTATCCAGGGAAGAAGCTTTAATGGAACCTCTGGCTCCCTGTGTAAAGCCAATCTTTAGGAAACCCACTGCTGGCACCTCTGGAACTACTTGTATTTATTTGGTTGATGGTTTTAAATTACAAAAGAGCTTTTGTTGGTCCCTACTTGTCATTAAAACTGACTTGTGGTTTTTTGGGGGGTCATTTGCACAGGTAACAGCAGCACCTGCCAGGTCCATGCCTGACCAGCCTGGCCAAGCTCTGCAGCCTCTGGAGGGGAAGAAATTCCAGATGCCCAAAGACCTCAGTGAGGAGAGGAGCTGCATGGAGAGCAGGGAAGGCATCAGAGTGTCCCAGCAGGAGAGGAGCTGTAGGGAGAGCAGGGAAGGCATCAGTGTCCCGGCAGCAGAGCAGCACCTGTGAGGTCGGGATTGCCCACTTAGGACCAGGACAGGAAGGGTTCGGAAAAGGGTGGCTGGAGAGAAGGGAGAAGGCTGAGCAGTGGCCAAGTTAACCCTTCCCATGCTGGCATTTTCCAGGCAGCGAGCCAAGTGACTGCTCGGGAAGATGGATATAACACATGTCTGCAGTCTCCAAAGGGTTATTAACTGTGCAATAATGGCCATGAAACTTGGCTTCCTCGACGTACATTTAAAATTGAAAGAAAAAAATACAACACCATTTTCAGAGGGGGGAGAGGGCTTGTTTCCTAGGAACTGCAGGGCCAAATCCACCTCTGTGATGGTGAGAGGAGAAACACCTCCCCACACACGGGCTGGGAGCAGGGGAGCAATGCAACCACCATGGCAGGACCACAGCCCCCTCCAACCACACGAGTTTATTCTTATCAGGAACAATTTCAAGGCATTTCTGAAAAGCCCATGGTGTTCAATTAATAAAGAGAGTCTGTGTCTCACTGGAGCTTTGGGATTTGGATTCAATAAAACCACTGCTGCTCCTAAGACAGATTCCTCTTTTGTTGTGTGGGTACCTCTGGGGGCTTGTCCCTCGCTCCTGGCTCCAGCCCTTGCCAACACTGAGGTCTGCCTGGGATGTTGCCCCTGTCATGGAGCGTTGCAGCCTCTTGGGCTCCTGTCCAGATGCTCTGAAAGTCTGGGATGCTCCACAGGGAGTATCCCTACTCCAGTGCAGTCTGTGCCAGCCAGCCCAGCCACTGAGCGAGTTCTTCCATGCAGTAAGTTACAGACTTCTCTTTATTAGTGCCTCTCTTCCCCCACACTATTAAATTTATTCTTTCTCTGTATTGTTATTATTTTTTGGCAGAGGACTTTGGAAGGTGGGAGAAAGGATCTACTAGAAAGTTAAACAAATCTAACCCCCCCCCCAAACCCTTCTGAGGGCAGAGACAAGGCACCAGCTCTGATCCCTCAGCAAATGAAGTCAGCTGGTGGTCTGGATTTAAACGTGGCTGTTGAGGGCTCAGGCCAGGTTTGGCAGCTCACAAATCAAGTTGCCTGGTGGCTCTCAGGAGTGGAGGGTTGCCACGAGTGGAAGGGCTGGGGGGGAGCTGCTGCCCTGAGCTGCTGTGCCAGCCAGAGCCCTGGCCCTGGGGGGACACACGGAGGTTGCTGGTTCACAGCAGGTCAGGAGGGAATTTCAGGCTCTGGGGTTTTGTTTTCCATGTTATGTTACACTATTGACATAGAGCAAGGCAGCCCCAAACTGAGTTTTTGTCTCCCTTGAACGAATCAGGGCCAGTCCTTTTGCTTTAGAAACTTCTTATTAGAGAGCAGAGCGAGCCTTGAAAGAGAGAGGGAAACAGAGAGCTATTAAATCTCACCTGCTCTCAAACTGCCTTTCTCCTTCTGCAGGAGCAGCTCTCAAGGAAAACGTGCTTCTTGCTGCCTGTCCAATGCCTGGAAGAAAGAAAAATGTATTAACACACTCATGTCCCTTGTCCTAAATTCAAACAGCCCTTTTCTCAGCACTCCCGCAGCTTCCTGCCCTCTCAGGGAGGAGCATCCAAATCTAATTCCTCTTGCTTGAGACTCAGAGCCATTACCACTGTCAGTACTGCTCCGGACAACTCTTGTGGAAGTGCTGCAGGGAGATCTGCCAGAGTCATTCACACTGTTTTATGGGTCTTCCTTTGAATTCTTCTACAATTTCAGGAACAAAGTTGCAGATTTTTGCAGAAGTTTAAAGTCTAAGGCACTGTTCTGCCGGGCCACCAAAGTTTAAAGCTGCTAACAGGTTGGATCTTGACTGCCTTCCACGACTCAGCCATGCCAGGAGAGCAGAATCCAATCCAAAGCCCACTGACTGCAGTGGAAACCTTTTGCTCTTGGAAATCACCCTACTGCTTCCAACAGCCCCTGTCCAAGCTGGCTTTTCCTGACTCCTGCACAGCTGAGGACACGCAGGACGTGGCCCAACCAGGTGGGAAGGAGCTCTGGTGACTGCAGGACCGCAGTGAAAGTGGGAATTGGTAGCAAAAATCAATTTTTATATCTCTTGACCTTTATGCACTTGTTTCTTGTTTTATCCAAGTGCTTCAGCAGTAGGTGAGATCACTGCCCAAAATCTTAGTGTGCTCATATATTGTATTCTAAGATGACTCTGCTTGAGCAGGGAAGTTGGACCAGATGCCCCAACATGACCTGTGATTCTGTGATATTGCCAACTTTGTTTTTTTCCTGGTCCTCTGAGCCCTGGGATTGATCCTGCGGATGGTGGTTGGAAAGAATAGGTGAGTTTTTCAAGTGAGCTTCCATAGCAGTGTCAAAATCGTTTTGGTGATGAAAATGGGGTAATGCAGCCAGTCAAGGGAGGGGGTTGTCCTGCTCTGCTCTGCACTGGGGCAGCCTCATCTTGAATATTGTGTTCAGTTTTAGTCACCACAATATAAGAAAGATATTAAGCAATTAGAGAGTGTCCAAAGGAGGGCAATGAAGATGTTGAAGGGCCTGGAGGGGAAGCTGTGTGAGGACACTAAGGGCACCTGGTGTGTTCAGCTGGAGGAGACTGAGGGGAGACCTCACTGCAGGTACAGCTTCCTGGGGAGGGGAAGAGGAGGGAAGAGCACTGATTTCTGCTCTGTGGGGACCAGAGACAAGAGCTTAGGGAAGGTCCTGAAGTTGTGTCAGGTGAGGTTTAGGTTGGATATTAGAAGGCTCTTTCCCCAGAGGGTGGCTGGGCACTGAACAGGCTCCCCAGGCAGTGGTCACAGCACCAAGGCTGATAGAGCTCAAGGAGCATTTGGATGATACTCTCAGACACATGATGTGACCCTTGGGGATGGTCTTGAGCAGGGCCAGGAGTTGGACTCGATGATCCTTGTGGGTCCCTTCCAACTCCGCAGATTCTATGATTCTGTGAAAACATGACGGGACAGACCAGCAGCGGGCTGCCCCGTACCAGAGCCCCGTGGTGATCCGGGTGGGATGTTCCCAGCGGCTCCACGGCCGATGGGAACCTCAGAGCGGCCCGGTTCCCGACCCGGCCACGGGTCCCTCAGGACCGGCCGGGGCTCCCTCACGCTCCGCGGCCGGGGCAGGAGAGGGCGCCCCCTGCCGGCCGCCCTCCCCGCGCACGTGCACCCTCCCCGCGCGGCCCCGCCGGCCCGCAGCCAATGGGAGCGCGCGGGGCGTGTCCCGGCGGGCGCGGCCGCCCAATGGGCGCGCGGAGCCGCGCGGGGGGGGCGTGTCCGGGCTCGCGCGGCGGCGCTGGCGGTGCCGAGGGCGGGCAGGGCGCACTCGGGCCGCGCTCCCGCCGCCGCTGCCGCGCTCCGCGCTCGGCCCCGCCGCCCGCACGACGATGTTTGACGGCTGCCTCTTGCCCCTCGTCGTGCCCTGCCTGCTGCTCTGCGGACTGGACGCCGGCACAGGTAGCACTCCCCGGGCTCCTGGCTGCCCTGACAAGGCGGCCCCGCGCCGCGGGTCCGGCTGCGGGCGGCAGCGTGCGGGCGCGGGGCGCGCACCGCATCCCCTGCCTGCGGGATGAATCGCTCCAGGCTTTTCTGTTTTCTTTTCCTGTCCTCCCGCTGCTGCCGCTGCTGCCGGAGCGTTCCATGTGGAAAGCTGCTGACTGTCCTTGGCTGCGTCTGCGGCTCGCTCTGCTTTTCCCCTTCTCCCTGCAGATTTTTATTGGGGTTGGTGAAATGCGATGCTTGTGTCTGAGCTATATATATATATATTTAATGATACAAGTAGCTTTAGCGTTTGCCTTATTGCTCTCCTCCCTGCACGTTTCTGTCTCTAATATGTATGTATGTATGTAGAAATAAACTCTGCTGCTCTGCCGGCTCCGTTGTCTCCGCAGCCCGTTCGCAGTTTCCAGCGCTGAAACCCGAGCGCGGGGCTGTCCCGGTTCGGTGCGGGGGTCCCGGGGCGCGGAACCCCCCGTTCGCCCCGTCGGGGTGCGAGCTCCTGAGTCTGTCTCCTTCTCGCCTGCAGCTGGCGGAGCGGAGCTGGAAGTGGTGATCCCGGAGCGAGTGCCGCTGGAGAAGATCCACCTGCTGCCGCCCGGAGGGGATCGCGGCGGCCCCCGGCGCCGGCGGGCGCTGCCGCGGCCGGAGGAGGAGGAGGAGGAGGCTGTGCTGCTCCGCCTGCCCGCCGCCGGCGCCGAGCTGTACCTGCACCTCCGCCGCGACCTGCGATTCCTGGCCCGGGACTTCGCGGTGGAGCAGCGGCGCGGGGAGGAGCGGCGGCCCCCGCGGGAGCGGCTCTGCTTCTACACGGGACACGCGCTGAACCGCAGCGACTCCTTCGCCTCCCTCAGCACCTGCGCAGGGCTGGTACTGACACCCCGCCCCGCTCCCCTCCGCCGGGCTGGTGCTGCCGTCCCACCCCGATCCCCCCGGTGCAGGCAACCCTCCCCTCCACCGGGCTGTTCCCATCAGCCGGGTGATGAGGGATGCCCCTGCCTCACCTCCCCTCAGCGCGGGGACTCTCCTGTCCCCTCCCCTCCCAGGCCCTGCCAAGCAGCGCTGCAGTCCCAGGGTGGGTGTTCTGCCCTGACTCTGCTGTGGAGCTGCCTCAGCCATCGCTGGGGAGCCTCAGCATCCCTGAGCAGTCTCAGCCATCCCTGAGCAGTCTCAGCCATCCCTGAGCAGTCTCAGCCACTGCTGAGGAGCCTCAGCCATCCCTGAGCAGTCTCAGCCATCGCTGAGGAGCCTCAGCCATCCCTGAGGAGTCTCAGCTCCCGCAGCTCCGCTGTGGATGGGTGGCAGGGCCTGAGGGTGCTGCAGAGGAGTGTCCTGGCGGAGGGAACATGTTTTGTCACTGTCGGACAGGTGGCTGAGTCCCACTGTGGGTAATTTGGTCGCCTGGCTCACTTCTGCAGTAGCTGTGCAGCTCTCCAGCCCTTCCCACCTGGCTCCTGCCGTCGGTGTCAGGGCACTGGGTGAGAGCAGCACTGTGAGGACACCTGGTACTCTGGCATGGTTGGAGGAACTGTCCCACTCAGGAATGTTTTTCCTGCCACAAGTGTCAGGATTTCTCTACCTGAGGCTGTAGGTGGCTCTGCAGGGCCTGGTTCTCCTCTGAGCATCCTGGTAGGAGCAGGTGATCTTGCCTGGGACAGAAGGTTTCTCAGGGGTGAAGACTGAGACAGTGAGTAGTTTGCAATTACTGTTGATAACTTAGAAGTACTTCAGAAAGTCAGCGGGGCATTAAGCTTTAATTCCCAGCACGTGGTCCTGGGATGTGTGTCCTGGGGTGTGCTGCTCGAGACAGGCTTGTTGATGGAGGTTTAGCCTTAAACTGCAGTGAGAAGCAGTTCATGCTCTGCCCTCAGGGCTCCAGCCTTTCCTCCTGAGCCATTTGAGGGCGCTGTGCCTCAGGATTAAAAAAAACCCAACAAACTGGCTGAGGGATGCTGAGTGTCTGAGTGGCACTGGAGATTGAGCTGAGTTCCACTGAGGGAAGCTTAAAACCGATATCTCTAATTCAGGCTTTAAATCACTGACAGGTCTATGCCTTTGTCACCAGGCATGTTTTGTAAATGTTGTTCGTGTAGTGCTGGGCTTCCAAAGCTACCTGCTCCAATGGAGCTGGAAAGCACAAACAGGCAGAGAAGGAACCTTTAAAAAAAGAGGAATGTAGTTGTAGGCACAGTATTAACTGCCTGAGATCAGGGAATGGAGGAAGGGGGTGAAAAAGATTGGCGATATTCCCAGTAGAAAAGTTGGAAAAGAAGCAAGACTAGGTAGTCTTTGTTCATTACTCTACAAATATGAACTGCAATGTTGCAGTATCTGTTTGGGTCATAGGAACTCTAAGCAATGACTAAATTGACATAGCTGAGCTAGATCAATTTGGGATCAAAAAGGGATTGGTGTCAAAGCTGCTGGTTTGTGGCACCTCCTGGGGACCAAAGCCCAGTGTTAGTGACAGTGTTGGTAAAGCTCTTTTTGGCTTTGTCTGTGCATCTGGTCCTGGGAGTGCTGAGAGTGGTGTGGGCAGTTGTGTTGTGAGAGGGAGGTGTTTCTGCATGTTCAGATACTCCTTTCCTGTTAGAGGAATCCATTCATTTACTCTTCATTCAGATAATCACCAGGAATGGGAAAGGGCTAAAAGCAGGTGCATGGTACATTCGAGTGAGTTAAGGGTCATAACACCCTTGGGAGCTCAAAACTAGAGAACAGGCAACTTGAGTGTCTAGGATGAACCTGAACTTGAGATAGATGAAACTAAACTTAAATGAACCGCATTAATTTTTGAAATAGTTTCTTTAAACTGATCCACATCACATGTAGATAAACCACCTCATTCTAGTTAAGTGGCCCCTTTGGCTTAAATCTGTGAAACAAATGAAACAAATCAGATTTTAGGCTGCTTTCAGTGTTCACACAACCTTTTGCAGTGGCCATGTTAACCAGCATAGCTATGGTGAAAGCTGTGCAATGCAGTGGTAAGATGTTTTCTGGGATCAGAGGAATCAAAGCTTTGCCTCAAATTGTCCGTGAGTTGAACTAAGAGCAGGTGACTCCAGAGCCCAAATTTTTTGCTTCCTAGTCTGGCAATTTAAAATGCCAATACCATCCCTACAGTGGGTTTTGGTTTTTCCCATTGCTTCCTAAAGCCCTGTTTGCCACAGGAAGAATAAGGCTTTGCCCTCAGCAGCAGCACAGCTTCACAGATGGGGACATGGGCAAGACCTGCCTGCTGGGCTGGAAGAAAGACCTGGGTAGTGAAAACCTTGCAGCCTGTTTGTCCTGGCATTTATCTTCTGAGCAGTTCTAGTGCTGCAGTGGGAGGTTTCCTGAAAACTCCAGCACGGGAATGCTCGTTGGACTGGAACTGGGTGATCAGGACATCTCATTCAGGAAAGCTGGTTGCTGAGAGGTACAGTGGGCAGTTATCCTATATCCTGATCTCCAGCTGGCTCAGACTTTGCTGTAATTGTATTCCTCAGCCCTGCCATAAATCATAGCAAAAGTGATATAAAATGGTCGGGGCAAGTGGAGTTCTAATAAAAACAAAATCCCTGACACAGTGGCATGAAAACTGAGCTGCAGCCAGACTGAGCAATTGCTTCCTGGTGATGATATCAGATTCCCAGTGTGGCATCTGAAGGTTGGGTTCTGTTTTTTAAACTCTGCTCGCAGATGCTGCTGTTAACCAGTGTGTGGCTGCTGTAGCTTCCTGCTGCAGCTTCCAACTGCTCCTGGAAGGGTGACTGTGCTCTTGTAGCTGTGTTGGGTCTGTGTTCAGGACTGGTGTTCCCTGGGTCTCATCATTTAGGTCCAGCTAAAGTACCTCAGGTGAGGATACTCCTCCTGTTCCTCTTGCCAGTTGCAGCGTGTTCCTGAAAAGCCCTACTGCCTTCCAGTTGGCAGGCCTGTGTCCTGTGGGGAATGCAGTTGTGTAAACACTTGGATTCTGACCCCAGGACTGAACTGCCCTTCCCTGGTGCTGGGTACCCACAGGCAAAGTTCTGCAACTCCTGTGCCTACAAGAGCGTAGCCAGCAGAGCAAATTGCCCCTTTTTTGAGAAGTTGCAGCTTTGTGAAGCCACAGCAGAGTCACTGTCACTGCTGAAGTGCTGGACTGCAGCATCAGTACCTTACAACAGGTGTGGGCTTTTCATATTTCTTGTACCTACATTTTTTAAACAGCTGCAGTTTTAAGAGGATCATGGATCTATGTTAAAATGCACGTTAGGTTTTGACTTAGGAATGAACTGGAAAGCTCTTTTCTGTTCAGGAACTATATCTGAAAGCTGAAAATCACTGGGATGCATCTAGAGGCAGAGTTTTAATTCTGAGTAACTTCTCTTCCATTTTAAAATCCAGAATCTGTGATTTTGGGTTCAGGACTGTTCTTTGGCCTGTTTGTAATTAAAGTGGATTGTCATTCTCAGTGGTGGTAAGAGAAGGGCTGTGGCTCCCCTCCATTCAGGCCAGTTCATATAACATTTTCACACCCCATTTTTGTCTCCTTTGAACTCAGCAAGACTTCCTTGTGCAGACTGCGTTGGTGGAAGTGGGTGATGCACATTACAAGGGTTCATGGAATGACAACAGTGAATTTTCTCTTTACAGGATGGAATAAATTAGTTGAAACTATACCTTAAGCAATGCATGCTGGAAGTTGGGAAACCCTGAACATTTTGTAGTATTGTCTCATACAATCCATGCACAGAAGAAGAGAGCTGCTTTTCTTCCAAGCTTCGTGTACATTTACCTTTGTTAAACTTCAGGCAACTCCTGGTGGACAAATCTTCCAGCTTGTTAAAGTATTTCTGAGTGGTGGCTCCTCATTCCGGTGTGCCCTGTTCACTTGGGACCATCCCTAAACTTTGTGAGGGTGTAGATGTAGACAAGCTTTGGCAGGTGTGGGCAAGGAGAGATGATAAGAGCATCCATCTGGACTTCTTGTAGGGTCTCTGAGCTCCCACTGATTTCCAGGTGGGTGTCAGTGCCTACACAGGGCCTGGGTGTCTCTGTGTGGGTTTGGATCCGGTATGAGAGGCCAGTCAGGACAAAGAGAACTGTGTAGGTTGGACTGCAGCCTCCAGGGAATGAGCAGTAACTCCAAGGACTCCTGGTGAAATGGTAAATCTCCTCTATCCTTGGGAAAATGAGGAAGAATATGGAAGAACCTACAGCCTGTTGGTTTTAAGCCTGTCTGCTATAGAGTGAGCACTGAAGATGAGGTTCATCCTATTTATTGGGTACTTTAGACTGGTGAATTGTCCCTCTGGAGCAGTTGCTGGAGGTGAGGGCTGGTTTAGAGCAGATTCCTGCAGCTCAGTCCCTGGCCAGTGGCAGGGAGTGGTTTTTGTCTGCTGTGGGGCAGTGCTGCCCTTCAGGTGACTGCAGGAGCCTCTCTGCTGTGGGAAGCAGGGCAGTGCAGGCATGCTGGGATTAGATGATGAGACTATTTCCCCTGAGGAAACCTTCAGCTCTGCTGAATTCCCTTGTCTGGGAGAGGAGCTGTCTGGCATTTATCCATAGCTGGGCCATGAGCTGAAAAGTTAAACCTCTTAAAATTACCATGCTGGGTTTCTGTGTGCTGGGATTTTCTTTCCTCTTCCACAGTGGACAAAAGGGAGAACATGCTGGGATTTCCTTGTTTAGCAGACTTGGAGGCCAGGGCAGAGGTGCAGTCAGATATTCCTGGGGATGGTCTGCTCTGATAACTGAGTGTAAACCTGAAATGACATGGAACAAGACTTAACTTAAAGCTCTTCTTTTCAATCTGCTTGAATTGCCCTTGTAAATAATAACTGAAGCTGAAGTATGGTTATTAATAAGGATAGGGCTAAAACCCACATGAAGTGTATTAAGCTGTGTTTGTGGGTTGTTTTGTTCTTCACTTTAAACATGAAGTTCCTTTTAACTTGGAGGAAATGGTTAAACAACGATTTACAGTGTAACAGTTGAGAAATTGAGAAGGGGATGGAATTTGTCAGATGTTTAAATCTGTTCTCTCTTCAGCGGGTTCGTGTGTATGTAACTAATGAACACTGAGGAGCAAAAGAAAAATCTGTTAAAGATTCAGCATTTCACAGATCTCCTTCAAAGATGTTGTGAAAATAAAAAAAAGGGCTGGAAAAACAGTGTAACTGTTGAAGAGTATTAACATGTGGGAAGGTCCAGAACCATGTGCAGAGGACACTGAAGGTTTGGATCTGTTGTAGCTCCACCAGCACTACCAGGGGACAGAGACAGAGCGGTGCCAGCAAAGCAGGGCAGTGTCATTGCAAATACTCTGCCCCAGCATTCCTGTTACCATTGTAATTTCAGTGATGTGGTGTGAGGACCTTCCTCCTTCCCCTGCTGTCATTTAGCCTGAGAAAAGCTCCAGTGGCAAGGAAAATGATGTGTAGAAGAGAAGTGAACTACTGGTAGTACAGGAGTAGATCAGAGAGTTTGCTTGAGTGACCACTGTGTGTATAAAACTTTGGATAAAAGCATGTGGGAATGTTTCGGTGCTTTGGAAAACAGGACCTTTGTTTTTTTGCTGGTGAGCAATGTTGAGCTGACTTCTAAATTCAGGATGTGGAATATCCTTAATGTGAAGGATATGGCCACTGTTAAGCATAGTGGTGAGTGAGGCTGCAGTGGGAAGTGTGGATTATTTTTTGTTTTAATCAACTTGTCAGTTTGCCTTGTGGGGCTGAAATCATTCCAGCCTTTCCCGTTAGCTGAGCTGCAGGATTCTGTCAGCTCCATGGTCCAGCCATACTGACTGTAAAATCCAGGTTAGATTATTAATGCAGATGATGATGAACTTTTACACTGAATTTTTTGGCTCCTGATGACTCCTGGATGGTGTGGCTGGGCAGCAGCTGCTTTTCCCAAAATTCAGCAATCCTGGGGACTGGAACAGTGGTAGATCCTGTTTCTACTCTCACAGAGAAAGAAGGATGAGAGGGAGTATCCCAGCTTTTGATGTGCATCTCCCCAGGCAAACATGAAATGGCAGATCCAAAGCATTTTATTTAATTGGAATGATTTCTGGAGATGTAGGAAAAATGGCTCTGAGAGTCACCTGGTCTGTTTTACTTCTTTATCTCCAAAATCCAGCTTTCTGCAGTCCCTGAACATCAGACTAGAGAAGAAAAGCACAGAGTATTTGCCCAATGCTGCTGTCTGGTCTCTCATGCTGGATTAGCCCAGTGTAGGGTCTGGTAGTTGGGGAATTTGAGGGAGGCAACATGAGGAATTATTTCTAATGGAAAAAGCAAAATAAGGACCAGACTATTCAAGTTATCAGGTCCAAAAGATCTCATCTGGACCAACAGGTTTGAGGACTCTTTAGAACCCAACTGGCAAGACCAGGGAAAATTTTACCTCCCTGGGAATACTTTACAGGGCCAATCCTGCAAATGCTTCCTGCTTGAAACTCTATTTGCCTTGTCAGATTAAGTCTGAGATTGCTTCCCAACCTATTCCAGGGTGAAGACTCATGGCTCTTTCCCTCTATAGGTTTCACAATTCCAAGGCAAATGTGAAACATAAGTCCTTTCCAATGGTTTAAATTATTTTCACGCTTGATGCCAGAAAGTTGGGATAATGTCGGGTGGTGATGGAACTGACTTCTTCTTACATATTTTTGGCACCAGCTGAAATGGTTGGCAGTCTTTCAGGAGCTCTGGTGTGGCTTTTAGTACCATGGCACCAGATTTACAACCCTTCTTCTAAATAATTAAAACCTATATTAAAAAAGGGGGCTGGGGCTACCTCCCAGCTGGAGGATTGGAACAAGGAGGGGAAGTCGTGGAGAGCATCGTAAGGGAGGCTGGAAGAACAAGTCACTGGAGCTTTTGCTGTCTCTGAACCAATTCTGACGAAGCCCAGCTTGTAACTGAAATGAAAAGGCAGCCCTTTGGACACCCCAGGGCAGAGTGGGGCTTGTAAACTGGTGTGCAGTTTGTAGGGCCAAGGAATAATGTCAGTTTTTTCTGTGTAAACAGGAGCCCTTCTGGGAGGTGTCAGGGCATTTTATACTCTAAGCAGTGACCTTGCCTCAAGGGCAAAGTCTCTCTTGAAAGACCCCAAAAGAGATGTCTCTTGTCTCTTTAGACACAAGGGACAAGACTGCTGCTGTGCTTTGCAGCTGTGGCAAATGGAGACACCAACTTTTATTGCTTTATTCTTTTTCTGAGTGCACTTTTGAAATCAGTGACCCTCTCTGAGCCATCCTGGTTTCCCCTGAATTCACTCAGTTATTGTGGCTGTCAGAAGAGGGGGAGCTCTCGTTCCCGTTGGCAGGAATTCCTCCTGCTGGAAATACTGGGCCAAAGGGATTTCCTGGGTGTACGTGAGGACTGGATTTGGCAGGGAGGGGTGGAAATGTACGATATCCAGTCTGAATGTAATGTATATTATAAATCATGTTAGTACAGTCAGCTGTTGAACAGACAGCGTTCGCATGTACGTGCAGAGCGTTTCTTTGGAGAGTTGCCTGGCTGGCACAGGACGTGGGGAGAGGGGACCAGAGGAGTCTGGTTTCTTTTTTCTGTGTCTAGGATTGGTGTTGGGACCTCTTGGTGGGCACCTTTACCTCTCAGGTGCACCACAGGCACCTCCTGGCAGGCCCATGAGGCCTCTTGTTAGCAGAAGTTGGATCAGACCTGTGGTATTCTCTCAGGGGGCTGCATGGGAGAGATGCACTTTGAGGCTTTTAGTTGCAATATAAATAATCACTGGATTAGTGCAATGAAAAGGAAGTCAGAACTCCTTGTTGTGTGCAGTGTGTCATAACCTCAGTGTTGATTACTAAACCTGGAGGCTTTGTTAAGTTTTAAGGTGATACCTTCGCTTTCACTGTCTTCTTTTTGTGCCAGAAAAGGAGTGGAAAAAGCATAAAAGGACCTTAAAAGCTCTGGGTTGGGAGCAGAGGACGGCTGTCTTGGGGCAGAACTGGCTTCCAAAGGTGCTCTTGCCAGCCCTGGTATAAAACCTGGACTTGGTGCAAGGAAGGCAGGGATTTAGTGCTCTGACCTGGAGCTTATGGAGTTATTGAGAGAAGGTCTTTGCCTTCCTTATGTTGCTTGTTTCAGGGATGGAGGAAACAGTTCATTCCTGACTTGACCTCTGAACCCCAACCCATGGCTGGCAGGGAGAGCAGTGCTTATCATGTGGCCCATAATGTAGCCAAGAAGAGGTATTTGGTCCCCAAAGACTGTGTGTGGCTTTGCAGGTCCTCCCTTTGACATCAGTTCCCTTAGTGTTGTCTGCCAGAGCGACACATGGAGGTGGTCTCCTGTTTGCAGTCTCACCTCTGTGCTCCACTAAGGCAGTAAATGCCATTTGATAACAGTGCAATCCTGGCAATTGGAAAGGTGATTTTAAAGGGATTTTTTTTATTTGTCCTCATGTGAGCTGAGCATCTCATAAGGCACATGTGTTTGTGCTTCCAGCTGGAGTGGGGCTGTACCTGGAGGGAGAGGGAGAAGGGATGGCAAAGGTGTTTGATAAGACCCCCCCCCCCTTTGTACATGTACAGTGCACACTGTTTCTAAATACTCAGTGATATCAAAAATGAATATGATGAAGTTCTTTAGTCTGTATTGTACAGGCTGAGAACGACCATAATAATTTCCTCCCAGTGTAAATAGTGATTGCAGGGGAACGGTCTGGGCTCAGACTGGGTTGATAGACAAGGTTTGGATACCAAACTGATGGGCATTTCTGCTCTCCTCTGTGCACAGGTTGGCTACATCCAGCTTGGAGCAGAGCACATGCTGATACAACCCGTGAATTCATCTGAGACCTCGTTCAGTGGGAAGGAACATTTCATCCGGCGGAGACGATCCACGAAATCCGGCCACCCCGGGAAGCCACACGTTCCCGACGAGCACTGCAGGGTTGTAGCAGGTGAGCTCGAAGTGGCTCAAGAGAACATCCCTGCCTGTGTCTCTAAGGTTTTGTATCCCAGTTCTTGTGTTTAACCAGGCCTGTCCTTGCTCATAAGTTGTGTCCCGCCTGGCACTGCTGTTGGCAAATCCTGTAGCCAGGACTTTAATTTTCTCCTGTGTGGAGTTGAGCTCTTAATAGTTCAGCAGGTTTATCTTTCTCAGGGGTTCAGACTAAGCCAATCTTCTCTCTTTATTCTCTGAGTATGACATCTTGGTTCTGGTTAGAGTTACAGATCCCCTTTGTCTCTTTTTAGAGAAAACCCCAGAATTCAGCACCACTCTGATTTCCCAGCCAAGTTCCATAGGTGCTGCAGCTCTGTGGTCATAGAAAATGCATTACAGAATTCTTACACTGTAAAATAAGACAGACTTTAGGTAAAAGCTGAATTGAACCAAAATGAGGGCAGGAAATCACCCTCATCCTTTTGCCAGTGAACCTTTTGACCTTCTGTGTAGGGGCAGAGTGCTGCCTGTTCTTGGCAGAGCTGAAATTCCCTCCCTGGGAAGAAGGACTAAAGGAAGGAAACTGGGGAGACACTGGGTAATAAATTATACGAAATCACAAAGGGGAAGAGGAGTTGAGTGAGTACAAAGATACTAAAAGGAGACACTGCAAAAAAGTATTTCCAGTAGCACCTAGTGCTTCCTGAAGGATTCTGAGGACCCACTGCTCTTTCCTGCTTTGTCCAAAGGGAATGTCCTCCTCAGGTGATGCCAGAGGTGACCATCAGAGCCTGGGGGACCTCATGGCATGGGCTGGGTGGGCACTTGGTCTGGCACGGTGTGACTGCACCTAAATCTGTGTCAGCAGAATTAATTACGTATCTGTCAGGTTCCTGATCCATGGAACTGGGATTTCCTATTGCAAGGAAAGTTGTTGAAGTCCTTCATGTTTTTTGGGCTGAGGGCACACGTGCACACATGTACACACGTGTTCATACATGCAAACGCTACAGCCACATCTCAGGTCATGGAAAGGCCACATGGGCTGAGTGTGTGTTGGAGTTCTGGGGCAGAGGGAGGTTGATAGTCTGATATAAAATTTATTTAAGGCTATTCATCTTGTTCTGTGATGGATTTTTTCCAGCCTACTTGAGGGGCTAAGCAGGGACTGGGATTTGGGGAGAGCAGGGGCTTCTGACCCTTGGGTGAGACCAGGACAGCTTTAGTCCCTCCCCCAGCACTAGGTGAGCAAAATCGGAGACTGTGTCATTCCCTGCCCTGCCCTGGATCACACAGCAGTTTGCAAACCAGTTGGGAACAGAATTCCTACCCCTTGGGTGCAGTTGGCTGTGCTAAAAAGGGAGCAAAGCCCCCTGTTGTGCACCACGGGCTGTGCTGCTCCTGCAAACAGCCCCTGCCCCGAGGAGCCCTGGCATAAAATAATGCAATTGCTCAGGGGCTCTGCCACTTAAAGGCAGACCCTGAATGTTTTCCATTGTTGCTGGAGAGAAATGTAAGTCATGGCCGTTAATAGGCTTAGCACGTTAACGACCTAATTGACTCCTGTCTGGTTTGGATTAACTTTCCTGCACGAGGAGTTTAGAAACAAAAAAAATTAATCCTGTCTGACAGACAAAAGGCCCATTCCTAATGAAATTGTGTGGAAGTGACGACCTAGGGGGTGCTTCCAGGGTTTCTCCTGGGAAAAGGTCTCTTTGCTGTGGCACTCACCAACATGGGCTGAGTGAGGGACTGATCAGATTTGCACCACAGGTTGTTTTCCACTTGTAATTTGGCTCAGCCAGGCTAAAGCTTGACAGGAAGGGATGGAGGTTGTAAATACATGGGGAATATTCCTATGATGGACATTTTAGATACAAATCCTATGCTGTGGAACAACGTAATAAAATACATGTCTGTGTAAATACAGTATAAACTGAGTATTTTTCTAAGACACGGAGCTGCCATGGTTGGGCATTTTCCAGTCCTTTGCTGCTGTTCTTCTGTTTTCTGAACATGCAAGAATCACCTCAGTTCATATTTTCTTCTTAAAATTTTGTAATTCAGTGGTAACTGGGATAATCTGGGGTTATTTGGGAGTCAGATGAAATACAAAGAATCAGATGCTGAATTTTTGATGTTAATTACTGATCATGTCATAAAAATTTAAACAGGGCTAAATTGCTCAATGGCAAATTTCCCGTGATGTATGACCTTAATTATTAGTAAAACAAAGATGGTTGGTGATGTAATGACTTGTGTGAGCATTTGGAGGAGGAGGAGGAGGAAACACTTTAAGAAAGCAAAATTACCTTGATCACGAAGTGCTACTGAGCTTGTGTTCCACCCAGAAATGTGGTGTTTTCCCTGGAAACCCCAGGGAAACTGAGCTGAGCAGTTCCCTAGGGCAGGGCAAGGTTTGATAAGTGGTGGTTGAAATCTCTAAAACAACTCCTTCAGTCTAAGTGGCGTAACATGTCCTACAGCACTCAGAATTATTTTTAGAGCTGCAGAAGGACTTTGTGGGAGCCAAATTTCTCCTGGAATAATCTGTGTAAGAGGATTAATCTGGCTGTAGTCAGGAATGGGAAAGTACTTAAGGTTTTGCATGACTGGATCCTTGAGATTTGAGTCTGAAAGTGTCCACTAATGGGTTAAAAAAAAAAATAAATCCCAGGGCCGATGTTTTAATTCCTTTGTTTAAATTCCAAAGGGCTCCAGCGGCAGAGGAGGGATCCCCTCACCACGGGCCAGGTGCTATTGTCAGTCATATGATATGTGTATTATTTTTATCACCTGTCATCCAGCAAGAGAAGGAGTTCAAGTCACAATGCACATTTCTTCCCAGGCATGAACATGAGCCCCTGTGAGGCAAACAGAAAACCCATTAAAAGGTTTCCAGGTGCGCAGGCAGCGAGGGGGAAGGAAGGAAAGGTTGGGTTTCACTTGCTCTGAAGCTTGGAGACGTGAGGAACATGGGAAATAGCTTCACACCAGTGATGTGAGACACTTCTCATCTCTAGACACTGGGCTGCATCTGGGGTGCAAACCTGCCATCACACCCTGCTCTGATTTTAAGACCAAATTTGACAACTTTCCTGTCAAAGGTCCCTGAGAAGGGGTCTCTCTGTGGGGAGAGCGGAGCCACAGCGAGTTGTGTTTGTAGGTTTTGGTACATATGAGTAAGATTTTCTTTACAGATGAGCCAGGCAGGACAGAAGGATCTCTTCTGATGCATCATTTGTAAGTTTTTGCAGTGCCCAACCCCCTGTAGCTCAGAATGGGGGTAGAAACCCCCTGAGATGGGGCTTCTTTCATTGCCCTGTCTCTCTGTGATCTTGTATCATATACACTAAAACTGTTGTTAAAATATGTGACAATATCCACCAGAACCTCAGCTGCAGTAAATATAGCTATGTTAATTATCATGGAGCAACAGTAGTTTAACTACTGACTGAGATTTGGACACATATTTTGCCTATTTTCTATGCCATCAAAGATGGGGAAAAAAATTTCATTTTTTTCTTGATTTTGAGAAGATACCAATGTTAAAGACAGAGTCAAACCATGTTGTGAAAGCACAGGAATCTCCTCTAACTGTGTCGTAAAACTTTCTGTTTCTTTGGGAAAAGTAAGTTCTGTTATAACTTTTCCAAAGGTCTCCGGTGATGTATTAAAGTCTCCTTACATAGAAGGGATTTGATATAAAATACAGTCCAGGAGCATGAGAGAGAGCAGCTTGTCTTTGGAGGGAAGGTTGTTATTTCATGTTTATGATACAGACCTCATAAATTACTCTTAAATGTGGGTTTGCTTTAAACCCTTATGTCAGTTTAAATGAACCAGTTTTCCTTTCATGCAAAGGTGCTGCACATACAGTGAAACAACAGGAAGATCAGTTTTTTAATTCACAAACTAATGCATTGCTTCTGTGTATAGTCGCTTTTCAACCTGTTTTAACAATTTATCAAAGCTGGTAATAATTTAAATAAGTGCTGGTGTGCAGGTATCAAATGTAGGGAAGGCTTTCCCTGAACAGGTATAAATCCTAAACACATGTTGCATTTCCCCATCCTTAATCATTGTCTCTTAGCTGTGTTTTCTCTGCAGGTTTGACTTGGCCTGAAATACCAGTTGTTATGGCCAAAAACACGTGCACTAAAAATAGAGAGATGTAATGCAACCTGTATTAGTCCATATTAGGAAGCAGCTGTTGAAGAATTAAAGCAGGATTTCAACAATGGGCTCTCCAGAAGATGTAATGTGATTAAGTGTTTGCAAGCACAGAAGGATTCCCTGTGTCAGAAATTCAGCTCTATACCCACAGGAGTGTGTCTCACTTGAGTGGATAAATCCCTTGGTTTTTCCAGGTCCCTCCCTGGTGTTCCAAACGGGGAGTCTGGTTTTTCCCTGTGAGCCTGTGATTGTTTCCTCATGGCTGATAACCAGCAGCCTTTTGGGGCAGTCTGAAGTCAGAAGTGTCCTTTTCCATCACATATGGCAAGTGAGGGTTTATTGCTGGTCTGGATTTGTTCTGGGTGGAGCCCTCAGTGAGGACACTGTGGATAATGTGGAGCAGGAGGGGCTCCAGGTTCTTCTTCCTCTACTGTCAAGGTGCAAAGAGACACAGGAAGAGGATGTGTAAATACACACAGTCAGTGGGTTTCTTTCCCTCCCAGAGCAGCTGTACAGCTCATTTGCTTGGTTCCCAATAAACCTTAGTGTTGGTTTCCATTGGAATCCAATGAAATCCAACCTGGTGGGCAGTGAAGAGCTCGGGTGTGCAGTGTACACTGTCCTTTTCCTGGGATATTCATGGATATTTCGGTGGTCATTCTGGCTGGAAATGCAGGCAGGTGACTCCAAGGAGACAAAGCTGTATTACTCACCTTTTAGCTGTCTTTGTTTCTTCCATATTACCATTATCCCCAGCTCAAGCCCTGCTCTCTGAGCCTGCAAAAAATTGTCTTATTTATCTGCCACGAGGGAGTCCTTGTTTCTCCAGCAAGGAAAGTA